TTCTGCATACCTTCTAACCAAAGGAATGGCTCCTATCAATACGTTTATGGCACCCAAACACATTAAACCATGTCCAACTGGGGCGGATCTAGGGCAGGTGCACTGGGTGCACGTGCACCCCATTTCGTTTAAAAGATTTTTATATATATACAAAAGCATTTTACAACCGAAACTAATCAAAAAATTAAAGAATAGACAGCGGCCAGTAGCGCCGTAAAACGGCCAGATTTCTGAGTTCCTTTTGTGAAATAAAATGCTATAAAATATTACAACTGCGATAGAGGAGTGAGCTGCGCTGAACAAGGGCGTTAAAAGAGATGTGTCGACAGACAGTAAAAGAGACTTCTTTTCATAACTTTTATTTTTACAATTTATATGATTGTGCAGCTATACTACTATATCATAATCATTGGAACCTTCAGCGTGTATACATTTTTCTCAATATAAATGAGTTCTATAGCTTGGATGTTATGACAAGCCAGGGACGTCGGAGCGGTTTTTTTAGCGGGGGGCTACTAACATAATTTAAAAAAAGAGATCTAAGTATTTCATCATTAAGACAAAAAAACGAAAAAAACCCGATTCAATAGGAGTATACTTTACGTTGATTTCTTAACTTTTATTTTCGGAATGAAAAAGTGGAGGGGGGGGCTATAGCCCCCCTAGCCCCCCCATCTCCGACGTCCCAGCAAGCTGCAAACTTGAAAAGAGATTACAGCTATTCACATGTGATAACTCAAAAAAAGAATGACAGCCTTTAAATTTGATCAATGTGATCAATCGAAAGTTATTTTAATGGTAGATGCAGTAGGTAGTGTATATATATATAAGAAATCTAAATACAATACATGTAAAGTTAAGCTGAGTACGTTGATAGTACTACTAGGGCGGGTACTAGGGTAGCTATAGCCTGCGTTACATCCGGTTTTATGTAACGCAGGCTATGGTAGCTGGTGAACAGCCATATCCTACTCACTTCAGATTCACTTTGGCCGTTGTCATGCCGCAGGTATACATTCCCTGTTTAAGCTTGCATACTGTAGTAGTTATTAGGAATATCCTGAGGCTGTCTTCGATTTCTGAAGTAAGTTATTGCTCCAATAAACAAATGGACGACGCCAAAAGTCGTTAGCGAAATTCCRCTGTACATAAAAGCAGCATTGGTCGTTCCAAAGAAATACACTAACAAGAGAGCAAGTCCAATGACAAACATAAGCAGGCCAAACCCGATATGCAGAAGACCTCTCTGGCGGAAAAAAGCTCGAAATTCTAGGCCAGTGTCCACGTCAATTCCATCGATGAACAATCTGTAGCCTCGCATCATACGAAGTATTCCAAGTCGGCTGTACATCAACATAAAGCTGTGGCCATCTTGCTCCCATTCGTAAACCCCACCAGAACCACACAGCGGACTGCAAAAGTTTGGGGTCAGTTGATGTGGGACTGGCACGTTGTTCACTAAAATTTCGTATTGCTCTGAGATGCAGCGGTCTGGTTTTCGATTCAGTTGRACAACAAACAGCTTGTCAATTCCATCTCTTGTAACGAGAGATTTTGCCCAGGTATCTGTTCTGTTACAGCAAACCATTTCTTATCTTTGGGAGCTTTTTAAGCGACGATCGACCTTGGTAAAAACTTTAAGCGTGTTACAATCAAACTATTTCCGACTTGAACCACACTCTTTTTATGTACATACATGACGTCAAAAATAGCCCATTACATAGTATCACATATTATCCAGTAACAGATATATTACGTTACGTCATGCATTTTAAAATCTGTTTGCATAATCTGCATATAAATAGTATGGTTGACGTCATTATCTTTGAGAACTTATAAAGTTATAAAACCAAGAGCCAAGGGCAGTTTTCTGTGAGAATTTGAAAATTGAAGAAATTTAGTAATAAAGATGCTGCATTAAAATAGCACAAATTTAATATGTTAGAAATTAATGTTGACATTGTTTAGCAAGAATCATATTTTAATGAATATAAAAAGAGCTTTTGCTTTCACCGCTTCAAATAAATGTTCTTTTTACCTTAAAATATTTTATCTGTGGGATTAAGCAGTCCAACTCGTCATTGCATTGTTTGCAGGGCACGCCACAGGCAGCCCAAGCTATTAAGCATTTGACTAGCTCATTTGGCGACATCTAGAATGTATGTAAATATGACATTTTGATAGAAAAAATAAGTAAGAGACATACATTTTTCTTACCTCGTGCGGTTTTTCTTGATATCTCCCCCTCTATACTTATTTCACTGAAATTCAGCTAAAATCACTTAAGTACGTGGTACTGAAAAATGTATCTTACTAGTATTTTTTCTATTAAAATGATGTCATATTTACATGCATTCTAGATATCTCCAAATGAGCTAGTATAGTCAAATGCTTAGTTTGGGCTGCATGTGGAAACACGCGTAATCATATTGCTTTCTTACTTTGGGGTATGAAGTGTGGTTTTTTATGGAAAAGCCCGCAAGGCTGTGTGGACGTCGTATCACAGAGAAAAACATGATACTAGTATTAATCATGATGAAGAAAGAGTCTTGAATTTCATGTAAAATGTAATAGAATTTCGATACTTGTATTTTCCTCATAAAATAAAGCCAAATACAGCTTTAATTGCACTAAATTTATTACTCCATGTTCGTGATGATTTACAGTCAAAGTAACAGTCCCAGCTCAAGACATGACACCATGATTGATACCAGAGTTTAAAGAATAAAACGTGGTTCTGCATACCTTCTAACCAAAGGAATGGCTCCTATCAATACGTTTATGACACCCAWACACATTAAACCATGTCCAACGTATATAATCTCACTTAGGTTTACACTCAATATTGCAAAAAGGGACAAAAGATTAATACTAAGTCCAGCTGCAAACATAACTAAGCCAGAAACGACAACCTGAAAACCTCTGCGCCGAAAAAGTGTTTTGAAATAGAGGCCAGTATCGACATCTATTCCATCAATGAACAACACGAAGCCACTCGTGTTATTGTGATGACTAACTGCGGCTGATCCGAGGATGTTGTACATTAACATAAAACTGTGGCCATCTTGTTCCCATTCGTAGGCCCCTCCAGAGCCACACAGCGGACTRCAACAGTTTTTCGATAGTTGGTGTGGGATTTCTTGACCGTTCATTGAGATTTTGTATCTTTCTGTGCAGCCATCTGGTTCACGGTCCAGTTGTACTAAATATTGCTGGGAAACACCATCCCTTCCAACAAAAGAACTTTCCCAAGTATGACTTCTTTTCCAGCAAAACATTTTTTGTTCACTTTGAGTGAGAACTTTTGAGAACTTCATATAATATTTCAAAGAAACGTCGGAGAGGTCGGCGAAGGTCAATTTTCAAAATACGTCATGTTGACCTGTGTGATGTCATACCGCAGGTAACCCAATTTAATACTAAATAAATCTTTTTATTTCTAATTTTTTAAATACAGCTTCAAATACGTCTTTAAGAATAGATCACAATTATTCATTAATCCGATTATTTACAATAATTTTACAATTTATAGTTAAAAATGATGCCATAGCTATTTAATGAATATACCGCGGTTCCGCATACCTCCKAACAAAAGGAATGGCTCCAATGAGCATGTAGACGGCACCCCAACCCATGAAAGCATATGCCAAGTTCATAAACCCTCCTTTCTTAGTTTCCATTATGTTTACAAAGAAATGCTGCACGAGAATAGCTCCAACTCCAAAAGCAAACACAAGTACGCCAGAAAGCACAAAGTGGAGACCTCTACGTCGGAAAAAAGCTTTCAAATGGAGACCAGTGTCAACATCAATTCCGTCTATAAACAATCTGAAGCCTTGCATTGCCCGGATTAACCCGAGGTTGTTGTACATTATCATAAAACTGTGGCCATCTTGTTCCCATTCATAGGACCCACCAGAGCCGCACAGCGGACTGCAATAATTTGTTGACAGTTGATGTGGGATTTCTTGACTGTTCACTGAGATTTTGTATCTTTCTGTTATGCAGCCATCTCGTTCTCTGTTCAGCAACACTTGATATTGCCTGGAAACACCATCTCTTCCAACGAGAGAACTTTCCCAGGAATGACTCCTTTTGAAGCAAGGCATGTTGAGAACTTCACGATTTTCTGTTAAGAAAGGTCGTAGGTCAAGTTTGTTATGTGTGTGTTTTCAAAATACGTCATTTAGCTCTGTGTGATGTCATACCACAGGAAACCCACTTGAAAAAACAAAATATCTCCCGTCCCCTCTCCCATGAGTATCACTTCGAATGAAGACAAAATGGCGGCGTACAATCCATATGTTATCTGGATTGTACTTGCCACAATAGTTGGCGTAATGCTTTTGATTGCTACTTTRTACGCCCAATGGCAGAATAAGAAGAAAAAGAAGGGTAAGGATTCTTTCTTRTGAGAATTTTGGTGAAATGGACGAAGAAAAAGACAAAAATCTCTGACATAAGTACACGTAGTCCATTCGGCTGTTCCATTGTCGATCTTCTTCCTTTCGAAATATAAGTTGTTTTTGTCATTATTTATCCTTCTTTTAAACTTTTTTTTTTTGCTCTCTTGGCTATGAAGTAATATTTAGGCTAAACTGCCGAATACCCCGCCATTCAATGCTATTAACTTAAATAACAAGATTATTAATTAATAAGAATAAATAACATGATATYAAKTACTCATTRCCACATTCAGTTAGCAATAGACTCSTTCATATCAAAATGACTTTATTTTTAAACTAAAAGGTAAGACCACTGCTTTTTTTGATTGATGGCAGTCTATTGCTGATTCCACAATAGCAAATTTAACTGATTAAATACTGTACTGATTTGTTGATGTATAGAGCTCTATGAGTTATATAGAGTTACAACTAGATTGAAATAAGACAAAACACCAACTTGAATRTGTAATATCTCTGTTTAATTTTGAATGTTTTGGCACTTCAAACTTCTTCCGCAAATATCCTGTATAATAATAATTTTCAGTAGTAAAATAAACGATAAAGACAACAAGTGATTTTTAYGACGTTTCGAGGTCATACTGTCCTCATTGTCAAGTACTTTTAATGGACAATAATTGTGGGCTAAAGTTTAGATAATAATTTTGTTACAGTAGAGAGACTTTTAATTGTTGGAAGCTATAATAAACCATTATTATCATTATCAATATCATTATTAGTATAAATGCTAGATGCTTCTTGCTAGGTGCTTTTCTTTGTTTCATTAGGAGCCTCTCAAGGGAGGACACCAGTGGCTGTCAATGAAAATCCCGGTCCTGCTGGACGAAGGAGAGTAAGGAATCGAATGACAGGAGGTCGCAGGGCTGACAGATATGAAGATGATGATGATTTTGAAGACATGGRAGATGACGAGGTTGGTGGTGGTGGGTTTCCCTTTGATGATCAAATGCCAACGGGTAAAATCGGAACCAARAAGTTGAGAAAACTGGAGATGAAAGCAGAGAAAAGAGCCATGAGAGAGGTACAAAATATATCCTTTTATATTTGCTTGTTTATGATGCTTTTTTATATTTTTATAGTTCAAAATACATAAAGCTATWTCAGGAAATGCTGAGCATTGTAAAAAAGTGTATTTCAAGACCAAAATGCATCTTGTTAGCTGCYATATCATTGCTCAAAATGGGGTTTTATACTGTTTTTGAGTGACTATGCCAGCTCTGCACCTTCATTGGAGAGCATTAGAGCAGAATTGTAGAGCAACAATGCATTTTGGTCTTGGTCAATATGTTATTTAACAATGCGCACAAAAAGCAAGCAACTTTCTGTTGTTCTGCGGCAATTGCAACTTCCCCACATACGAATGTCTTGGTCTTCACACTGATTACATATCAACCTATGGGTATCAGAATTTTGAAATAAAATGTGGATAAACTCTGTTTTGAAACAAAGTTTCTTTTGTATTAAAAGATCTTGTCCAATCATAAGCACTCAAAACAATAGCCAAAAAATGCTTCTAGTTTGCTATGTTCCCCACATAGAATTGCTAGTAATATTAAAGCTAAGGAAAGCTTTTATGAAGTTGGAATCAGATATTAAACAAAATATTAAAAAATCTGCTTACTTTTGAAATTATGTGAAATTTTAATGTTTTAACCAATGAGATGGATGGATTATACAATTAGCACCTTCAGGCATTCCATTGCCGTTTGCTTGCCTGCTTCTTACTCGGACCATTACTTATACAGTATCTGGTGATAGCCTTGATTTATTGAGCAAGGCTTTGACTTTATAATACTCTCTTATGTTGAGCTTAATTGTGTTCAAAAGCAAATGGAAGCAGAAAGAGAAGACAGGAAAGAACGAGAAGCCCTCCGAGAAGCTGAAAGGAAAAGAGAAGAAGAAAGAAGAAAACGAGAAGAGGAACGAAAGGTTGGTAAAATGAATGTTTGGAAATATTTTCTTTCAATTGTGTTTTCTANCTTAAAGTGTGGTGCTCTAGATTTCTTATTGTATTGTTAAAAGAATTTTCCTCTTTCTAATTTCTTCAAAGACGATAATGACAAAATTTCGAAATTCAAAAATTTTCTGCATACTCATAATGAAATTTGAAAACTCAGATACAGTTGTTTCTAGGCACAAGAAGAGAAAATTAGGAAAGAAGAAGAAGAGAAAAGAGCTTATGAAGAATACTTAGCAATGAAGGAAGCATTTTCTGTTGAAGATGAAGGTGTTGGAGAAACAGAAGAAGAGGTGAGTGGAACTCAAAGTTATGTTGAAAATGATTTTAATCTTTACTTAAAAGTAAGAAGTATGATGAAATAGTTCTTATTTATCTTTTTCATATTCATTTTTTTTAGAGTCAAGCCCTTCTGCAGGATTTTATCAATTATATTAAGGTATGTATTGCTTAGTAGCTGTAAATATGTCATTCTGAMATCCTCCTAACTTTTCTCCCCCATTAACCCCCTTTTTTCTTCTCTCTTCCTCACATTTTTCATTTTTCCTCTCCTTTCCTTCCTTCCATCTCCCTTTCATCCCAACCCTAGTGTAATGACGTAGGTTTTATTCTGATCCTCATGCTTACATATATTTCATGGGCCTAACTCGCCTCCTAAAGCTGGGTGCAATTCACGTTTTCGTACTCCTCGAGCAACTATACTTTTAGCCGGTACCGCGGTCGAACTCTCTCTCTCACGCACAAAGCGTGACTCCTTAAAAGAGTCTACCAAGGCCCAAGGGATGATAAATAAACAACTTAACATTTCAAAGCTACAAAATAAACCCCTGTCACACTAGTTTTCTTCTTGTCTCCTTCCTTCCTTTCTTTGTCATCTCTCTGGTCTTCCTTCCCTYCTTATTACCCTCTCTTGACCACTCCATCTCCCTATTCTTTCAAATTTCACTTACTTTTTCAGGATCAGAAGGTAGTCATGTTAGAGGACTTGGCATGTCAATTTGGGTTACGTACTCAAGATGCAATTGACAGATTACAAACTCTTCAAGAATCAGAAAGAATTACAGGTACTAGGGCAATGTAATGTTTTGTTTCATTAGAGCAAAGTAACTKAAGTMGTCTTAAACTGCAGCCCATCAAAGAACTCCTAGTTTCACAGTTTGTGGTAAATTCAAACAATAATGCAGAGTCAAATTTGAAAGTTTTGGTCTAGTCACAGACGTATCATTGTCTTAATCTTATTTTTTATGTGATTATATGAAATACTACCTTCTACACTTGAGCAATTCAGGGCTTAATTTGAAAGGTTTTTGTCTAGTCCCAGATATATTTTTTTCTAATTTTTCACACGATTTTTATTGGTATTTTTTTATTCATTATTCTATATTTTTTATTCAGGAGTGGTAGATGACAGRGGCAAGTTCATTTATATTTCAATGGAAGAACTAGAATCAGTTGCCAAGTTTATCAAGCAAAGAGGAAGAGTTACAATTTCTGACTTGGCTGATTCCAGCAACAAGCTGATTAATCTACAGTCAAAACATAACCAAGTAGAGGTGTCTGGATAATTTTAAAAAACATGGTAACAAAACATTACAGCTCAATACAGCCAAGCATTCTTTGCAGGCCACTCCATTCCATGGGATCCCTGTGTTAACTTAATGATTATCRTCACAGGAAGACCGAAAATATCAAAAATTCCGTGTCCTTTTAAGTAAGCTGTGAAGGAGGCTAAGCTCAGTGTTATAGAGGTTTTAATATTTCAGACTTTGTCGGTCTTCTGGTGACGACAAGAYAGAGATTCCATTTAAAAAGATAACGGACGCCATTTTGAAAAAAGATGCAGACAAGTCACTGGGAACGAGGTTGAACGATTCCATCATCAAGAGAAGAGGAGAGAATAAATTGCTAACAATAATGAAAATTTCTCCCATTTTATTATATACTTTTCCCATTTTATTGTCTATATTTCACTGAAATACTTTATTTTATTGGTTAACGTCAATTTGTCTCTTCACAACGCACACATTGACACRCTGAATAGTACACGTCTTGAAATATATAAAAATATTATCTAAACCTAACCTATACTCTTTAGTGCGTTGCATTTAGTCCGTGAAATAGAGTGAAAACATTAAAYCCGTGAAACAAAATCTTCGTAATTGTCAATTTCGAGTGAGTCATAAAAGAAAAAGATCTAGAGTTATACGACGGAGTTGTAGTCGTCGCACTTTTTATAYCYCCAATAAAGAGCTGCTTTTATGTTTTCTTTGTAGAAACGGCCTATATTTGCTATTTTTGMMARGAAAAGGCAAAWACGCYTAAGAAGSACGTGCGAGTACAACTCCCATCATAATTTGTTGCACAAAATGGTGTCGGTGTAGATTTCCATTAGTAATGCATCTTAGCAGTCGYTAATTTTATTGTTTTCTTTCGTGTTYGTTTTCATTTGGTGGTGCAAGAATAGTAAGGCTTAAAGTTACTCTTTTGTTCTTTATCAACYTRAATCAACTAGATRGTCGTATCTTTTTCAYGGCGGACGGGAATTGATTTTGTTTCACGGGTTTAAGTTCTTACTCAGGAATCAAGTTAAATGTAACGACTCGAACTAGGCGCGTCTTTTTTCGTGTTCCTTATAAATAGGCTCAGCTTTARCCGCATTCGGCAAACCGAACGTTGAGTTCTGGATCGCTGAGTTCAATGTTTTTGGATGATTATTAAGACCTGTACACTTTTTCTACTAATCTTCTTGCTGCATTATTTCAGTATCTATCTTATCAGTTTTAACAAAGTCACTGGTGATTTGCACTTTGATTTGCAAAATAAAATTTGRGCGCAAGACATTTTGCATTTTTTGCGACACAACTCATTGAAGAAACGTTGTCAGGCTCAAAAAGGTGAAAACAWTGAAGCTGAGACCGAAGGGGATTGTGGGTACTCGGAATTTGGAATCGACTTTGCATAAAACATGTACATTGTAGCACTATTGGTAGAGGACGTCCTATTTTAAGCAGATTATTCAATATCTTGGAAATGGAACTATAATCCAGTCCCGAAGTCTCCAATGCTTTATGCGCGAGCCAGGGCGCGAGCATAAATGTGAGAGATCTCAAATCAATTTTATTGTCTTTCTTCAAAAATTCCATGCTTTTTCTCGGGCTATCAATGAAACGAAAGAATATGTTGCGTGGTTTTGAGTCTGYAGACCAAACCAGAACTCGGAATTGCAGTGTTGACTTCCCATGTAATCTTTTAGAACCCGACAACACTTTTTCAAAATTAACTTTTCCGTGATCTTTACGAATATCTTACTTGGTCCTTATAAAGTCTTTATGAATTTTTTTGCGAGTTCCTTGCTGAATCGTTTATTTGACTTAMGGAATCCRTACGTKGTTCTTCCGGCACTCTAGCGTAAACCATGCGGAAAAATAAGGTTATTTTCCATAACGTTTGAACCATGATTTTGCGTATCGTTGGGTTCTTTCACGTTGCCGCATGATCGCTATGTCCGTTTCTGGCATCGTACGCCATGACACCATTTGTGAACGACAAAATCTTGATTGATCCTCCATTACTTGCGTTATGCACCGTGGACCCTGCCACTGTAACTTGACTTTCTTCCGTAAAAGTACCACCACGTGACCTCGTCTCGAAATTCTCAAAGTCCGGGATTGAGACGCATCCGCAACACGTTGTACGCTTCGTGGGGCGTGATTCGTTGAACCGGTACGAGCCGTTACGGGTCTTACAACGGAAAATAAGTCTATGGAAAGTGTATCTGAATTCTTTGTTTCTTATTGTGTATATAATGGGGTTGATACAAGACGACGTATATTGAAACCATTTGATTATTAACGGCGCTTTTCCGTAAGAACACTTGCGGCGACAGTAGTACGCAACGATGTTGAATACAAAGAATGGCCCCCAGCATAACACAAACGCGCCAATAACGATGGCCAGCATCCACGCAAGGCGAATTTCCATAAGAACTGAACCCGTCCATTTAGCGCGTTGGCGAACCACTCGATATATTTTTCCGTAAGATAATAGAATTACGGTTAACGGTATAAAGAAACTCATAATTACTAAGAACAGTGCGTAATCCCACWTTTTGTACGTCATACGTAAAAGACCCATAATCGTCGAGAAGATCCAAACGTAAACGATAATCCACGCAGCGAATTTAGGCTTCTTGGCTCTGGCTCGGTAAACAGCTGGATGTACTACTGCCAAAAGTCTGCAAAAGAAGAAGTCAATTAATCAGGTTATTTTAAACAACTGCAACAATAACAAGATTATCATTATCATCATCAACAACAACAACAACATCATCATCAGCAACAACAGCAACATCAGCAACAACAACAACATCAATAGGAACAATATCGTCATCAACAACAACATTATGAACAACATCATCATCACCATCATTATCAACAACAACAACAACATCATTAACAACATCATCGCCATCATTATCAACAACAAGATCATTAACAACATCATTAACAACATCATCGCCATCATTATCAACAACAACATCATCAACAACAACATCATTAACAACATCATTATCAACAACAACAGCCATCAACAACAACATCATCAGCAACAACATTATCATCACCATCATCAACAGCAAGAACGGAACTCACGAATTACATCCGAAAACGTGCGACAGTAACCGGAACGTTATGAAAACATCTTGGAAGTTCTTGAAAACAGTCCACGTGGATGCCGTAAAAAAAATATTATTTTCCAATGCAATATTTCCGGCCATGTGTGGGAGCGATTTAAAAAAAAGATTTCGTCACAGTGTATAAAATCCGGTCGTAAAAATCCTCATAAAGTCTGAAATACGCGCACGTACATAGCCTGGGTAGAGACTGGAAAAGGCGTGCAGTATCGAATGCTTTTTTTCATTTTAAGAATACAACGCGCAGCCTCATTGGCTAATGAAAATATTTATATATAAGAGAATTAGAAATAGACCCATAGCGCGCTGAAGAAAAGCAGAGAAATTATAGCTCGATTAAGCACACTCAACTAAAATAAGATTGCACAATCGATCAAACTGATGTCACTTAAGCTATAATACACGACAAATTCAGCTACCCTATTTGCTAGCGGTTAGAATTCTGTCCAATGATTGCATCAAGTGTCATGACATCCTCGGGAACCTGTCGTCCGAGGATGGTTTCATATCGACCAAACACTTTTTTACTGATGTGGAGATCGATTTTGAACCAGGTGTTCATTTTTTTCCATTATGGTTTGAACTATTAGTAAAATTGACATAAGTTGTTACAATCACTGCACTGATCGACATATTTATATATAAATATGATTATAATCAATATGCCTCAGGCTGTCGAATGAGTTGATGTTTTTTTTTTTGTCCGTATGCTCGATGTTTTTGTGTGAAGCAGAGAGAGTAGATACTAAGGTATGCGCAATTTTTATCAGGGGGGGTTGCGAATCCAGGGGGAGGGCAAAATCTAATTTTATGTGCTTAAGGACGGGGAGGCCAACGTCTAAAATTAACTAGAAAATTTTATTGGAAACTGGAAAATCAACTTTGTCAGATTCTGTGATTTTTGGCCAAATACTTATTGAAGTTGAAAACGTCTAAAGAAAAGCGTGACACGATTGCCGACAACTCTTTATTCAGGAATAATAATTAAATAATATATAATTAATAATATAATATAATTAAATAAATTCACGGAGGGGGAGGTAATTTATTTCGTTTGCGAGGGGATAGTAATTAACTTTTTTCAGCTCATTTCTCAACCCAATGATTATTATTAACAAAAGTGGTTTTCCTTACCTGTCAATGCTAATGGCAACCATGTTCCATATGGACGCAGTACCACACAGTATATCGAAGATGACGTAAGCCTCGTAAAGTCTGTTGTTATGTATTCCACAGTAACTGTAAATATCCACATAAAAACAAACACTTTTAAATAAAGAACCCTAACCATAGAGAAAATGGAGCGCGCGAAAATGTGCACTCATACAATGTGTGTATCTCAGGGGCGGATCCCGGATGCCTTGGGGTGCGGATGCACTCCCCCCTTTTTGGACGACGTATTTTTTTAGTATCTCCTGTTGTTTTATCGGGAAAACGAATATTACTGAGAAAAAAAGCACCCACCCAACCCCTCCTGCGGTGGTTGACAGTGAATACGAGAAATCAGGAAATGACAAACTTGTAGGACAACATCGCTGTGTAAAAAGCTCGTTGATAGTATATTGAATTACATATAATTGCGSGAATGCAGTCGACATTTTGATAGACGACGTTTTCAAGCAAATCAGCCAATCATCAAGTTGTCAGACTGGCAAGGTCAATAAACCGAAGGTAAAGTGAGAAATTAAATTTGAATAACAAGCTGAACAACAAGCTGGACATTTTTGTCTCACTTATTTCCCTCGTCCTGGCTATTGATTTTGAGAACGAAAGCGCTCGACAATACAGCCGGCAAATGTCCTAGATTACTCCAACGCAYGCTTTAATACGGATAAATACGAGACACAAAAAATTCAACTGGTCGCGCAGCCGAATTGTTTTGTTGTTCAAGTTCCGCGCAAATCTTTCTCGTCTTTCAAGATCTGTTTTTTGTTGCGCGAGAAGTTGACAGTGCTTAAACAAGGTGAAAAACTAAAAACATCGACGCCAAACTTGAACGCAATTGAGCTTCAAGTAGTGGTTTTGTGTATTTCGTATTTCTCCACCTTTAACCCGAGTATCCCTGGTCTCTACATTGGAAAACATTGGATAATATTACGCGTTCTTAYAAACAAAAAATACATAATTACATCATAATTACAATAACTCTCTTAAATAGGAACAATAGCGACAAATTATATGACTTCAAACTTATTCGTTATACTAAATTTTCTTCATTGCAGTCATTTGCAATATTTCTGACCGCCAACCTATCATATAGGGTGCATTATGGGTAATGTGTAATTTTTCTCTCTTTTTTCGCGCTGAAACAGATCGCAAATCATTCGAACACCTTGAATTTATATTCAGTAAAGAATATTTAAGCATAATCTTCAGTTTTACAACAAATTAAAGGTTTAAATAATATAAACTACGCATATATTGATATATTTGTATAAGTTTTCAGGCACTAGAATTTCTTCGATTGATTTTATGTCCTTGGTATATAAATTATTAAAAATATGTTTTTATCGTTTTGAAAGGATAAAAAGAAAACGATAGAATGAGCACTCTTCTAGTAAATTTGGACTTTAAGTTGATAATTTCAACACTTAATCAATTAGCAAGCTAAATGATTGTTTCACGGACTTTTGGAAATCACGCAAAATCACTAACAAAATAAACAATAAACTAACATGAAAATGTCCCAAAACAAAACGATTGTATTACAATTAGTAACTTGCAAAAAGATTAAGTTAAATTAAAGCATTTTTATTACCATCTCCTGTTGTCAAATGTAAACCGATATGCAAGTTGAGCGGTGTTGACTGAAAAACACCAATATATGTATATAAAGAAATAGGGAAATTGCACAACTAAAATCCCAAAGAAAATCATGTTTTACTGTTGATACACGCGTTGTCAAAACAACYCAGASCAATAAACAAAAATCAAGAGAAAAGTAGAAAAACAAATGCCCTTTATGACGTCATTGGTGAAAACCTACCCGGTATGACGTCATAAGCAAAGMGACGGTAAACATGTCCTTTTTTTTGCGCAAAAACGTGTTGAATATTTGTTATGTAACAAAAAATATTCGGTGTGTTTACGCGCTTTTTGATTTTGTATAAAATATGAAAAATGGAATCCACATAGCAATTATTAATGAGTGATATTTAGAGCCGTGATATAATTTTTTTTTTTAAATAGCACTCAGATTACTTGCGGCACCAGAACATGGTCTAAAGCCATGCGGAATGGGTGAAGATTACGTCGAAAAAGCTCTGAAACACACCGCTTAAAGACCTTTGTCAAGAAGGCTTAGAAGAAGAGAGGGCGTTTAATGTAAACAATGTTCACGAGTCGACTCTCTCGAAAAAGCGCTTCATATTGGTCTGCGTCACCGAAGTCCACGCGGAGATCTTGAGCACGATTTATACTTATTAGTAACTCAAAGTTTATTTTCTATTTTTAAAATGATAAAAGTGGTTACTAGAGATGCTTGCGCGCCGGAAAAAACAACATGCTACTCTTCCACATATCGCGGTTCGGAGTGCAATTTGCGGTCAACTCCAGTTCGTAAACAAATTGATTAAAGTGTTGTTTTTCCATTTGAATTCATTCATTATTGATTAAAAAAGGAGCGAAAAAGCCGCCCAAAAATACAGCTTTTAATCTGTATATTCATAACTGCGGTCGCGCTGAAAGTGAAGCTTCACTCCACGAGTAAATTAAGTCTCAATTTTCCGTGACGGGAGACTTGAAAACACTCATGACGAACGCTTTGGGCTGTATTTTGGAGACTGCGTCTGTTTGGACGTAAAAAACAGGAAACCAAAGATCAATGAGCGATAGCAAAAAAATCGCTTTCTTTGTTTACAATTTTAAGGACAATAAAGATCTACAATACGACTTTGGAATTTTTCAGTCMAYGCGAAATAACCTCGAACGAAAACGAAGAAAAAAATGACTTAAAAATCCATCTCTAAAAATAACGTATTTTTCCAACTCTGTCCTGTTTAATRCTGATAAAAAGCTTCAAAAAGATTGAAAATTGAATTAAAGTGTAAGTCTAACCGGCCAATTGAAAAACACTTTTATCTGTGGACCGATAAGAAACGATGTTCATCACTACACGATCGCTCRAAGCTCTGGAGCATTCTTCGCTTTTATTAGTTTTGAGGATTCGTMTTTCATGYCTTTGTTTAGAAGTATTGTAAATCAATGAGAATAATAGTTTTTTTTTTGATGTTTTTATCAGCGGACATTTTTAGATAATTTCTAATGCAAACATTTAAATGAATTGTCAACATTTAGCTTTTAGCTATAAAAAAATAAATTTTCTAAAAAAAACAAATTTGTTTATACTCTCTGTCAAAAAGGTGAAAAAATTAACGCGCCGGCTTCTTGGAGAAAATTGTATAATATTCACAAAATGAGCTCGATTTGAAGAGCAAATCGTTTGAGCTAAGTCAAAATCTCCTTGCCSGCATTATATCGCGTATTATAGCGGGATTTTGACATCAAAATTAACTTRATATAAGTCAGCAATCTGCGATATTACGCGCAAGTTGGMAGTCAATACAACTGGATAATACTTAAGCAACAACAACTAGCAGATGTACACGAGCAAAAAGGTCATATAAGCGCTCTATAAAACATGTAAGGTTTATCAATATGAGATATGAATACTTGGTATGCAGATTTTTAAAATATTTGGAGGCAAAACATTGAAAACAACAATGTYAAGCGCCTTTTTTTAGAGACACGTTGAACTAATTACTGATTTACCAAATTGCATATTTTTGATAAACGTCAAAATAAACAAATTCAAAAAGAAAAAGTAGTAAATATATCTATAAGATAAAGTTTATTCTCGTTGTAGTTAAATTCAGTATATGTAGGATTTCTTTTGTATGCGAGGTATAGAGGGTTTAAATGGTTTAAGAGCCAGTTATGACAGCAATTGTGAGAGTATAACATACTTACTTAATAGCACTCCAGTACATCCATAACGGAATATTGAAGACAGCAACTAAGACATCGCTTATGGCCAACGAAGCAACATAAAAATTTGTCAATATTCTTAGCCTTTTATTCGTGGCAAACGCAATGCAAACGAGTGTGTTCCCAAAGATCGTAAATATGCTAACAACACTCAGTCCAAGAAGCTGTGGAAGGACTATCTTGACGTTTATACCAGGGGAACAACCTTGCCTCGTGGAAATATCATTACACGATGAATTCAAGCCGCTCGCGTTTGAGCAGTTCATAACGTTGATTCAGTGTCTTSCAGACTTCTTTACTGTGTCCTGTCAGACAAGGGAGTTAAACATCAACATTTTGTTTACTTTGTAATAGCCTAGATTACCACGGYTCGCATGTGAGCGTATCAAAGCTCGGCTATGACACGAAATTTGATCCGGTTCTTCCTACGTTTKTGGCCGCTCGCAGCTTTGCCCGCTATTCGAAGCGCGCGACGCGCTGCGGCTAGTTGGTGACAAGAAAGGTCAAAACCTCATACCTTATACGTTGATCACAATACATCACTCTCTCTCTTAATATGTTTACCATTCGAAAAGAAACCCGAGACATCTAAAGGAAGCTTGTGACTACCGCAAATGACACAAAACGATAAATACAAAACGGAAAAAAAGCCGAGTTGAACGAACTCGTTGCTTTCATTCGCCTTCATTTCCTGACTCGAGGATAAATATTTACAAATTCATTGAAGAATTTAAGCAAAACGTAATTTCTTTTACGCTTACGTTTTGATAAATGATGAAATTGCACGTCCACGGAAGTGCTCAGGCAGCAAATCGATGTATTCGTTCTAATAGGGGTTTTCGGACTGACGGCGTTTCACGTCAAAAAAGAAGTCAGCATGGATTTTTAGGTGACAGCCTCCTTAAATTTTGGCTGCCTGGCAACTAAGTGTTTAAAAGAAGTMTTATAGTGTCTTTCCTTTTYCTTTTTTTTTTCCTTTCTTTATATTGAGCGACACAGTGTCATCATATCGATATATTGAGTAGTATTTTAACTGTTGTTTTTGTTTATCTTTTAAGACATTTTGCCGCCAAAGATACTTTTGAATTGATGTTTGGAGAGTCCAAAATGACGTGACAAAATTGCACTCAAAAAGCCTCTTTTCACAACGATTTCCGAATAATTGAATAATGAAAAAATCGTCGCCTTACTACTTCTACTTAAAGTATCTCGTCAACACGATTAAAAAAAGCGAGGATATATATGTGTAAACCTAGTTAGGAAGTGCTCTCCAGCGCGGTGAAAGTGTTGCGCGAAAATCTCTTAATAGACTAAAAGGAAATTACCAYCGAAGTCATAATTTCTAATTATTTTTCAAAATAGAAATTATTTGTATAACAATTTGACTAAAAAGCATTCAAATTGTTGCGCAAATTTTCTATTTGAGCAAAAAACATACTTACTTGAACAACAAGGACGTCTAGTATATTTTACCCCCYMAAAATATATGGGAAAATGTAAGTGGTTTGACGGAAAGAGCTTGCTATTTTGCGCTATTTGGTATATTATTTTTAAACAAAGAGATTAAAATTATTCTTTAGTTTAAATAGTGCTCTCAAACACCACAACCTTARATACCTTTCTATCTATTGTTGTCCTCTCTCCGAATCAAGTGAGCGTTGTGTCGGCGTGATTTTGAAAAGGAGTTCTAAAAAAACATCGCATTTGATGGCCGGCGAATAACCCCTATAAAAGAGTGATGATATTATTGGTTGGAAATTGGTTTTACATGTCCAGTATCACCCTTAATCAACGTTCATTTTGAYTCTAAATTTATCTCGTTCGTTCTGCTCGTAAACAAAACCGAGGCGCCACCTGACCACTTAATTACAACCAATCGCCAGTTCGGGTCACTTTTGCCTTTGGCCATAAACTCTATTCTTGTAATTGTAACACCACTATTTGCTGACATATAGATAAAAAGTCCTTTCCCTTTAAGAGAAARCGACTATGTACTCAAATACGTAAGTTATGAAAAATTGAGAGCGTAGTATATCCTTTACTACATTCCCATGACGCGTATATTGAAATTTCGTGGCAAGTTGTTATGCTGTTTTTCCACCCACATGCGATAAAATGCCTATTCGATGATGCGGGMATGATTTTCGTTGCAAAATAACTCGAAATATGTCGTTTTGAGATATCACATCTYCATTTGAACATATGCCGAGCCACACATGAGAAAGCTTTCAATCAACCTTTATAATGACAACAGGAAGAGAATACCAGAGATAGTCAGTCAGAATCTGGCATCCACGTATGYTTTCCCGGCATGTGCGAAATACATTGAAGAGCAAAATTATGGCCTTTTTTAAAAAATAAATTTTGTTTGAATATGAAGGACTCAATCCGATTTTACTTTCACAAGATGTAACAGATCTCCAGCCGCAATCGACAATAACTAAAAACAAGCAAAGTTGAAGAAATAAACTGAAAACAAAACAATTCAAAACAAATGGCATACCGAAAAAAACAGCAACAACAACAAAAAAAACAACAACAACAGCAACAAAGAACAACAACAGAACAAAAGCGACAACTACAATTGCTTGTTTTAAACCATTCCCACTGTGATTCAAAAACAAAAACAAAATGAAAAAAGCAACAACGTGAAACAAACAATTAAAACTAAACAAAACAAAAGCGACA